GCTGTCCAACCTGCAGAGAGATCAGCCCATAAAACCACTGGACCATGCCGTATTCTGGATCGAGTTCGTCATGAGGCACAAGGGGGCGCCGCACCTCAGGACAGAGGCTAATAAGATGTCCATGGTCCAGTACTATTCCATTGATGTCATTGCCTGTCTGCTGGCAGTTAGTTTGGCAGCATTCACTCTTTTTGTTTCTGTGATCAAGTGTTTGTGGGGCAGAGTGTTTTCCAGAAGCAAAGTCAAAAATGAATGAATGTGCTGCAGAATGTCTACGTTTTATCATCTGAGTTGTGAGTCATGAACACGAGACGTAATCTTTCCGTAGTGTGCAGCTGAATGCAACGACTACCTTCGTACTGTCTCACCACCTCACCTCAGACCTGCTGCTTTGCCTTTATATACTATTTCATTACATGTTGTCTTCATGTTGTACCACGGGGGCGTAGCAATGTCAATTTCGTTGAATCATGTTCGATGACAATAAAGACAATCTGAATCTGAATCTGAATGTGTGATTCCAATAAAACAGTTCTGATGAACATGTTGGGATTCTCTAAGCATGCATATTTTAAGAGTCCACTTTGAAACCATGAACGAACGAACTGCAAACATGTTGTAAACTGTTGATGACTCATGACACAAAGTCTTTCACTGGTGTGCAGCGTATGTCAGCTTGGTTTTCCACTGTGATACATTTGAACCGTTTTTCCAACCACATGGCGTCGACCATTATGATTTGATTTACAGATTCAAGGTTCAAGGTTCAAGGGTGCAAACATACAAACTATCATCCTAAAAGACACAATAGTGATACTTAAAAAGACTTAAAGGGAAAGTTCGGTTATTTTCAACCTGGTCCTTATTTCCAGCATATGGTTTGTAGATCTACTCACCCATAAAGGTTTGGAGTAACTTGGAGTAACTTGGAGTCCTTCGGACGCTTTTAGATCCACACGCGATCTGCGTATATCCATACAACGTAAGGGATTGGGGCATCCACAATACAGCCTCTAAATAACCATTATCTGCCACAAAACTCTTTATTTACTATGAATCTCCAGCACGCAAACAAGCAAGACGGCGGGTGGCAGAGGAGAAGCCAGCGAGCGAGAATTATCAAGCCACCATTGTGGCTCCAGTGTGTGGAATCACTTTGGCTTTGGCACAGACGGAGATGTTCTAAATAAGTCGCTCGCTGTTTGTAGGATATGTAAAGGTCAAGTAAAGTACCACGGCAATACGTCAAGCGCCATGGGATCTCGTCACGCAACACCGACGGTCCAGGCACCTCTTGCAGCGTTCCCACTGCAGCAGCAGCAGCGCAATGTGAAGTCAGCTCTGCAGAAGCCTCAGGCCTCGCCAGCGTGTTTAGTCAGACACTAAATATATAAGTTTATATGTTTATATCCATAATTTATACCTGATTCCATTACAAGAAACTACAGGAATCTAGGAAACTTCACCTGCACTGTCCAGTATCCAGGTATTTATTTTAGTCACACTGGTTGAGTTTTTGGCTAAAAAGTTACTGAATCGATTTCAAGTCACTGAATTGTTTCGAATCGTATCGTTCTAAATGAACCAATATCGTCCTTGAATCGTGTTGGCAACCACGAATCGTGATTCGAATCGAATCGTTGTTAAAACGATTCGTTACACCCCTAAAAAATAATATTGTACATTTCTCTCAAAATCCGTCAGGACACCATTTGACTGCATAAGAACATGTCTGATAGAGATGAAGGGACAAATGAACTGAGGAGTAATAGTTGGTAGAAGATGAGAGGAGACATGTTGTATATGAAGAAGTCTTGTTGTGATCATCACGATCTACGATTCAGCACCAGGATCCATCAGTATTATAAACCCTCATCTTGTACACTGATGAAATAAAATTGATTGATATTAATATCAAACCTTCTGATTAACTGGTGATTGACAGTTCTCTCCTCTACATAAACTTCTTAATGTAAAACAGATCTGCATCCACAGTCATTTCAAACGCAACATCTGCCGATGTCCCTGAAGGAAATATAAACCATCACTTCTCCACTTTCCTGATGTCTCCTACATCTGTGTGTGTCCGTCTGTTTCATATATATATATATATATATATATATATATATATATATATATATATATATATATATATATATATATTATGTTTTGTTTTACCCTGTATTTGATGTGTGTTTGTTTCTGTATGATCACATGTATTTGAATGTGAATATATGTAGTATTGTGTATACAATTACTGATTGTTGGCTGTCACATGTTTGGTTTGGGTTTCAAGTTACATTTTCCTCAATCACTAAACAAAAGTAAAGACTGAGTCTTATTCCACATTTGATCTGTTGTTTAATGTTTAATCACATTTTAGACACATTTAATTAAACAAGAAACTCATGAGGAAATAAAAACATGAGAAAATTAAGTTTTAAAATCTGTTTGTTTCCATTTACAAAGAGATTTTTATATTTTTATTCACAAAACAAAGAAACTGTTTTTATAGAAGAAAATGTTTTATGATCAGATAAACTTTAAAACCATTTTTGTGAATCAACAACATGTAGTAAAAATAGAAGTGCCTGAAACTTGTCTTCTTTATAATGACCAGCAGAGGGCGACTCCGCTGGTTGCAAAAAGACTTAATTTTCTATAGTTACGATGAGTCAGGACAGCTGAACAACTGCATGTCCAGAGCAAAGTCCTCCAGCTTGGAAACGTAGTCCGAACAGGCGGGAGAACTACAATCTGTCGGCCATAGCTCCACCACAGTGTCCGAGTCCAGAGGGAGACGATACCTGTAAGACGTCGGACATTGGATGTGAGACGTGAGATCAGAGTGTAATCACGTTGAAAGAGCTGCAGGTGAGAGAGTGGGAGAGAGACGCTGACCTGAAGCCGTGGCTGAGTGTGACCTCTGACCCTCTGGCTCCTGTCACCAGGTACTGTTTCTGGCTGTGAACGTCCACATGGCTGCAGGTGATCTTTTTTACCAGCTCCACCTCCGTACCTGAACTCACCGCCTCAAACTCTACAACAACGAGGTCATACACACACGCACACACACACACACACACACAGAACAGCAGTTATATTCCAGACTCATATGAGGTCACTGTGACCTTTGACCTTTGAGCACTGAAATCTAGTCAGTTCATCTTTGAGTCCAAGTGAACGTTTGTTCCACATTAGAAGAAATTCCCTCCAAACGTTCTTGAGATATCGTGTTCACAACAACACGTGTGTGTCTCACCTTTGTCTGTGTTCTTCAGGACTTCAACTACGGAGGCTGTGTAGGTCATAAAGTCTCCGTCTGCTGCTGAAGACTTCACCGTCACCTTGAAGGCTGCGGAGAGAAAACAGATTCTGTCACATGGTTTACACTGAACTCAACCTGCAGCTCAAACTGACGGCGACGCGATGAGTCACAACCTGAAGCAAACATTTAAATCCCAATAAAATACTTTGTTCCTCAGGTCATACGTGACGTCGAGGTCGAACACATATTTACATATAAACTCACCGTATCTGACGTGAGGTCGACAGGTCTCCTCTGTACGTTTGGCCGCCGTCAGTGTTACGTCCACGTTTCCTCTGTAGGTGGCGCAGGCAGCTACGTCACAACACAGAACACGTAGTTACAAAAAAGATATGACACGTAGTGAAAACATGACAAACACAACATGTTAATCATATGTTAAACATCATTTGCAGCTGGTGGCCGCTGCAGTGATGTGAGTGACAGTTCATCTTGGCCAATCAGAGACAGATAGAGTTCGTGGGTGGAGCTTAACTGTACTGAACTGTAAAATCATTGTTGAAAATAAATCAAATGCTTCACACTTCTTTTTTTTTTACATTATTTCACATTGTTTTACATTTTCTCTGTTTGATTTGATTTTTGAAACAGCAGTGATGTTACCTGTCATGCACTGACACTCTTCGCCCACACAGAGGCGCTGCAGCTTCTGCTCCTGGGAGGAGAAGGTTTTGGTGCACATGCTGCCTGCAGGAGGAAATAGATCCAGGTAATCTATTACTTTGCAGTCTAATGAGCAGAATAATCATTTATCTAAATATAAGATTAACTCTGAAAACTCCATCATGTGTAAAATATGTTGAACTATGAACCCTCTGCAGGACGTCCACAAACATTTGGCCTCATTAGTGTGAAAGAAATCAAACTGGGTATTACGCATAGACTGTATATAAAGATATATACGTATATAAAGAGGTATTACGGTGGCCCTGAAGTGCAAAACACAACAACATTAACCAAACCGGAAAGGGAGGAACCCTCAGCGACATGAATCGACGCTGATTGGACCGATGGTTTACATGTTTTCAAAATATGAGCGCCGCTAGTGAAAACGTACTTGCTGCTTTTTAAGAAAATGAAGGCCCTTAAAAAGTATTAAATGTCTGATTCCGAAGTATTGTTTTTTAAAGAATAGCACGTGATTTGTTGTTAGTTTGTCTGACTGTCGTAGCGACTTCTCCGTCGTTATTTCCGTCATTTAGAGTTCACAGAGGAAAGTTATGAGATCAGCGTATATCAGAGCAAGGGGCTGATGGTTTTATGGGCATTTTGTCAAACAGTCAATGGTTTCATGTTTAAAGCGTGCGTGTGACCCACACCAGGCCGGGATCTAAACACGGAGCATCGCGCTTAAAGTGGAGCTGTTTAGCTAGCATGTCATTTTGAGACTCGGTTTGTAAAGTTTAGTCAACATTTGAGAACTTGTCTGACACAGAGTCTCCTGTTGTTGCTACAAGTGTGAAACAACGACTCAGCGTCTCTCCCCTCCGGCTTCACGGCTGGTTCGTTTGTTTCCGTTGGTCTGGAGGTGTAAAGGACGGACCACCAGTCCAATCAGCGACGATTCATGTCGCCCGAGGGCTCCTTCCTGTTCCGGTTTGGTTATTACCGTTGTGTTTTCTGATTAGCCTTTGTGACTTCAGGGCCACCGTAGTTTATATCTGATAATTATGAAAATAATAA